GTGGTAGCCACAATTAGGGACACTAAGGTCCAAAAGGTTAAACCCTGCATTATTAAGAGAGACAAAAAAATTTTGTTGAGCAGGGTTTTGTGCATGATCCGTTTGATTTTGATTGGGGTAAAATCTATCGGTGTGCTGATGTGGAAACCGCATGGTCTTATTTTTATCTTGGTTTTATGGAGATCATTGATAGACATGCACCCCTGTGTAAATTTAGAGTAAAGGGACGAGACAATCCTTGGTTTTCTGCTGAGCTGTCTAGTCTCCTTCATGAGAGAAACAAGGCCTGGGCAAAGGCTAGGCAATCAGGCTCAGAGGTAGAGTGGCTGCGTTTTAGGCAGCTAAGGAATAGCTTCACTTCAAATGTCAAAAGTGCAAAGTCGAAGTACTATTTGTCAGTTACCACAGAAAACCTAAATCCTAGGAAATTTGGGAAAGCAATCAAATCGATATCCACCGGTGAGATCGGTAATGAGCTACCTCCGTGCCTTACCACAGCATCTGGCACTATATCGGACAGGGCTACTATGCTAAATTGCTTTAATGAGCATTTTGTGTCCTGCGGTTCTATGTTTTATTCTGTGACTAACTCTGCTTCTGTGAACACCCCAATCCGTGACTCTGAACAATGTGGTCTGGAAAACCCTTTCATTTTTTCTCCTTTTACTGTCAATGTTGTTCATGAAGCCTTATCTAAGCTAGATCCTAAGAAACCGGCTGGCCCGGACAACGTAGAACCTTTCTTTTTAAAGATAGCTGCAGATTTTATTGCTCTTCCTCTTACTACTCTTTTTAACCTCTCCCTCAGCACAAATGCAATTCCAAAAGTATGGAAGTCAGCTTATGTCTTGCCTTTACTAAAAGGAGGGGAGGCAACTATTTTAAGTAACTATAGGCCAATCTCTAAATTGTCAGTTCTGGCGAAGGTGCTCGAACGCCTAGTGAGTGAACAGGTAAAGGAGTTTTTATGTAAAAATGATATCCTGTCTAAACATCAGTCAGGCTTCAGAAAACAACATAGCACCATCACTGCCACAATGAAAGTGGTGAATGACATTACGAGTATTTTAGACAATAAGCAGAGTTGTGCAGCTCTATTTATTGACCTTTCCAAAACGTTTGATACCGTCGATCATCGCATCTTAAAGCAGAGGCTACTCAGTATCGGCATATCCAGCCATGCAGTGGGTTGGTTTGTGAACTACCTCTCTGAAATGTCCCAATGTGTTCACTTTGATGGGCTGTCTTCTGAGTGGTTAAACATTGCTAATGGTGTTCCTCAAGGTTCTGTTTTAGGTCCACTTTTATTCTCCATCTACATCAACAGTTTAGGTGAAAATGTGGATGAAGCTACTTTACATTTTTATGCTGATGATACCGTGATGTACTGTGCAGGTCCCTCCATTAAGGAGGCTGGTGTTAAATTACAGGCTGTTTTTAACATTATTCAGACTCAGCTCGCTGAACTTAAGCTTCTTTTAAATGTTGATAAAACCAAGGTAATGCTATTTCAAAAGCTAAAAAGACACCAGAGCCTGTTTTGGATATTGTTACTATGCAAGGACAAGTACTTGAAGTGGTTACCAGTTATAAATACCTAGGTATCTGGCTTGATGATTGTCTTACTTTTAAACTTCATGTCAATAACCTGCTTAAAAAGCTGAGGGTTAGGCTAGGTTTCTTTTTCAGAAACAAGTCCTGTTTCTCTTTTGAAGCCAGGAAAAGGCTAGTCACTGTGACCTTTTTACCTGTGCTGGACTATGGTGATTTGTTGTATATGAATGCACCTGCCTATTGCCTGAACAAGTTAGATGCCGCCTATCACAGCGCACTGAGATTTGTCACAAATTGTAAAGCACTTACTCATCACTGTACCCTGTATGCCAAGGCAGGTCTGCCATCACTTACTGTAAAGAGGCTCAGTCATTGGTACACGTTATTTTAGGGATGCACGATATTGGTTTTTTGAAACCGATACCTTCCTGCTTCTCAAGACCAATACCAAACATTTTTTTACGCCACTAATTATTTTAACGCGATTAACGCATGTGTATTTTTTTTCCTCGGCCGCCCCGTAGTTTCAGAGCGCATCGAGTTTAAAATACCATCTACAAGCTGATGCTGACAGCCCCGCTCCTGTCGCCCGCTTGTGGCAGACCACACTTCCACGCTCACCGGCAGGCACCGACTGGCTGTTGGAGGACCGGGAGGGTGTGTATGTGTGGCCCGAGCGAGCGAGAGAGAGACCTTACGTGCATTGTTGTTGTTAGCATCTGGTGCTAGCTAGCTGCGCTAACGGATATACGGAGCTGTTTAAATGAAAACAGAGGAGCGACATTTCGCCACAACTGCGCCGAGCACTTGACTTTATGCAGGAAGCCAGACAGTGGGACATTGTACGAAAAGTCAGCACACTCAGCACGGATAGTGCGCAACATGATTGCAGCGTCCAGGCAGCTCCGGTTCGAGCATATGCCTTGAGTTGCACATAGCTCCAACGCCCATACCACCGACGACATGTTTGTTTACTGTCCTGGCTTCACGAGTTAGGGAGCGCTGGATTTGTGAAAAACTCCCCTCTTCCTAAACCACTAATACCACAGTACTGGCAAAACGGGAGGAGCCGAGTGAAAAACAAGCGCCCCTCATCCCAATCCACCCACACCGCAGTATTTTTTCTTTTTTTTTACCCAAAAAATATATTGTATATTATCGGGGCTATTAATACTGGTATCGGGTTTATCGGGATGACGTCATAATTCCTAATATCGGACCGATAATTATCGGGCCGATAATTATCGTGCATCCCTAGTTTATTTATAAAGCTTTGTTGGGTAAACTCCCATATTATATCTGCTCTCTGATAACACAGAGGGCCCTTCTCACTTCGGTTAAATGGATTCCTTGCGTCCCTGACTTGCGTCGTTTCCCCTGCGACTAGTCCCTCCACCAGGGAAGCATGGAGAGATGCAAGGAAACCACGAGAAGCAGGGAAATGAGTTTTAAGAGCAATGGGACGTCCTTCTTCCTCCCGGAGCGTCACGTGAAGCGACGTCCGTTTGTGATGACGCTGCACAGCTGATCGTCTGACAGCAGCTCTGTCCCCGTTATTTCCACACACACCCCCGCCTCTGTTAGTACCATTTACTGACACAAACATTTGTATCATCTGTTGTTAGACCCAAATACATGAAATAAATAAGAACTAATTCTCAAAAAAGATAACGCCATTCTTAAAATGTATAAACGAACAATAGTTTGATTAATATTGATTAGAGTGCACACAATAAATAAAGAATTCAGAGAAGAAAAAGAGATATGTTATCTATCAAAACCCAGTTAGATTAACATTCATTGGATTGCACACTTTTGTTTATTTGTGTGGATATGTAGCAAATTAACATTTCAATAGCACTTAATGACTGATTGAATGGAAATGACAATAAATGAAAATGTTAAAACGAAAAAAGCGATCATGAAATGTTTCCAAAAAATGAATAAAATGATTTTTGACCACTTTGTTGTTCAGATATATCACACCTTTGGTAACTAAATGATACATTAATTGAAACAAAACATGGTATAAACTGAGGAGTGACTCCCGTGAGGTTCATGTATTTTCTTCACTCCGCTGGGAAAACTGCTCTCATGTCAAGAAGCATCAGATCAGTGCATGCGCTGCATCGTCCAATCAGTGAGCGATACACAGTAAGGGGGCGGCGCGAGTGTCTGAGGATTTCATCTGGTGGTTCCTCGATTATAGCTCCTCTATTCTCGCTCCTCGGTCCTCCGGCAAAAATAAGGGACGCTACTCAAGATGGCGCAGACAAATCAACTCCGGTGAGACCGAGACCGAGGAGCGAGGAAATGAAAATAAGAGAAGTGAAACGCAGCCAGATAGTTGCAAGCAGCTATTGTCTGAGATCGCATGATGTAGTATTGTTAGATGTGCCAGAGCAAGGACTGTCTTAGGTAAGACAGCTTTTATGAGCGCAGCTCCACTTGCTTGGAACAGTCTTCAGCAAGAATTGAAACTGAGCAATCTCATTCCTCTGCATGTTTTTAAAGCTAGGCTAATGAAATGCTCGTTGGTACTATGGCCACTTGTAAATGTCTATAACTATGTAATGTATCCTGTAAATATAATGATAATGTCCTTTATTGTTTTATGTTCATGTGGAACCTATATGCTGCAGGTCTCCCTTGAAAAAGAGATCTATGATCTCAATGGGACCAATCTGGTTAAATAAAGGTTGAAATGAAATGAAATGAGTTGAGTAGCACTTGAAATGTTTTTGCTCTATGAACTGATGTACTTATATGATTCTGTTTTTCTTCAAGTTTGTATCTTCTTGGTCGAATGCACTTATTGTAAGTCGCTTTGCCGATTAAAAGCGTCAGCTAAATGTATGGTAATGTAGGCGATACTCTGTTACAAGAACAAGTCTGCATTAAAAGGTTACTCAAGTAAAGTACAAAAGTATTGGCATCTAAATATACTAAAGTACCAAAGTAAAGTACTATTATGCAGATGGTCCAGTTCAGAATAATAGATATGATATGTTTTTGATTATAATTATTTATGTATTAAAGTATTATCAAAGTTAGTTTGAATGACTTTGTATACTGCAGGGTAGCTTGTGCATACTCCAGGTGTAACTAAAGTCTGATATAACTCAAATCTGCCAAAGTAAATAAAAGTACAAAATAAATGTAGTGGAGTAAAAGTACACGATTTTACCTTGAATTGTAGTGGAGTAGAAGTAGAATTAAATATAAATACTCAAGTAAAATACAAGTTCCTCAAAATGGTACTATTCAGTAATTGAGTTCATGTACACCACTGGTTAGTAGGCAGTTAAGCAGTAGCCACATACAGATTATAATGCAGTACAAAGTATGACATTTTTAAAGATTGCCCAGGAATGCCAACTGCCTCACTTCCTGAATGGCTCTTTCCCCAGACATTACCTCCAGGTATGAGGTCACAGTTTACTCACCCAGGTTGACGAAGCTCATCACCGTGTCAGCCTCGCTGACCACCGTGCCCAGTGGCCAGTGGGTGCTGAGGGTCGGCAGGACGGCGTGGCTGACCTGAACCAACCTCTCCATGCCGGGTCCGTTCACAATAATTTCATTCCTTTCATCCTCCCCCATCAGCAGACATGGCGTGGTACAGGTCGAGCATGAATAGCGGCGCGGAGGAGGGGCGGTCGCAGCGGGGGTGAGGTCTTGGTCGCCCTGGTAGACCTAAGATGGACAAGATCTCCTTTCTGCATCTCCTTCTTCTCTCGGCCGCTGAGCCTTCTGAAGCTGGAGTGGACCAGGGCCTCAGCCTGCTGGCTCCACAGGGAGAGGCCGAGCAGGAGCAGCAGGGGCAGCAGCAGCAGGAGTCCTGGGGTGGAGGAGAGGCTGATGGGGTCTGGAAGATAATCTGCTGCTGCTTCTGCTCAAGTGCTGCTGTTTCCTCTTGCTGCAAGACAAGGGAAGCTGTGGGAGACGTTGAGTCCATGGCTGTGGTGGCTGGCAAATCTAGATTTATAAGTAAATATATAATCCGCTTCTTTTTTACTTTATCAGTTTATCTTCCCTTCAGTGTTTCCAGACTGACAGCAATAGTGTTTGTAACTCGCTTTAGTTTGTCCTCCTGTTCCAGACAGATGCTGATTTATGCCTGATGTGTTTAGAGGAGAGCTGGCTTGGACAGGACGTGTTTTACCGCCTTAAGCGCCTCTGTTTAATCTCTCCCTCCCCCCTTTTTGCCTTTCCTCTCTCCCTCGGCTACCTTCTCTATCTTGAAGAGAACAAAATCTCCTCACCCTCTGATCCACTTCTCCCTCACCTTGCAGTCGCTGCAACAGAAGAAAACAGAGATAATGAGAGTGAGGGCATAATTACAAGGTTCCACAATGTGTTTTGAATACAGACAACTATGCCCCTGTGGGAAGATTGGTCTTAGCTTTGAAGTTGTAAACTTGGAGGATGGAAAGCAATTTCAGTGATGAGCAGGTTGCCCCCAGAGATTGGAGTGAAATCTGAGAGCTGTGTCATCAGATCTGCTTTCAACCCTCCATTGCCTCCCAAGGAAATAAAGTTCACACTTGCAGTTAGTCAACGATCAACTAGATACCTCATGGGAGTCATCATTCACGGCTGGAAGCTTTTATCCAGTCCTCCTTGGGTACTTCATCATCCATTCAAGACGACTCCCCACCCACACATCTCCAGATGTCTCTCTTAATCCAGTTTATAAAAAAACTCCAGAAAATTGATTCCTGATTTTAATCCTTGTCCACGGCCAGAGGTCTCTTGTAGCTCTTGTGCACACTCTCCACAGCATCTGATCTGAGCAGCAGTGAGTGTGTCCTGTGTATGAGGCTCAGAGAGTGTTACAGTTGTTCATAACCAGGAGGGAGTTTCCTTCCTAGCCTCCGCCTCTCGGTCTTTTTCAAGTCTTTAAACCTACATCCCATCCTCACCCCTCCCAGTGGTCTCCCAGTGAGACCTCATCTCTCTCCTTACCTCCACCCATCTATCTTTTCATCTCCTCATGACTGCTTCCTTTCATAGCTACTCAAAGTGAAGTCTCAGGCGGCTTGGTGGGAAGTACGTCAAGTGGCCTGATGGCCCTGGTGAATAGCAGCAATTCTCTACGTACTAGCGAAAGAGATTCAAAGTGTATTTAATTTATCTACAGATGTCAAGACTTAAAAGGAGGGCGAGAGGCGAAAGCTGGGAGGGAAACCACCCTGGTCATGAACAACTTTTACACATTTAAAATACACTCTCACTGCTGCTGAGCTCTGCTCTAAATGCACCAGAGCAGCTAGAAGATACTACTTACCTCGAAGAAGTCCAAAAATACAACTGAATGCATTCACAATAAGAACGTAATTAATTTACCAAATTAGTTGATAAAAAATACTTTGAAGTACCTTTTTTTTTTAACTGCTTGGCTTTCCTATTTTGTGGGTCCTTAGCCAAAATATCTTTAAACATACTTAAAACCACTGAGAGGACTGTGTGGCTAGCTCTTGCTAGCTTATATAAAATCGTTTTTTAGCTAGCTACTTTGGTAAAGCCAATTTTCTTTCAAGAACTAAACCAGTAAATGCAGTGTTAATCGTCTTCATTCTTTGCAACATACCACTATACCACATCATTGTGTTTTAACAATTGTATCAGTAATTACCTTAGCATAAGTTTTTTAGCTGGCAAGCTAATTTGAAGAAAGCTAATTAGCCTGTATTCAAAACTTCAATTGCAGACGTGAAAATGTTATGGACAGTGTCTGTAAACGTTATTAGTAGTATCTAGCTTACTTTTTTAGGCTATAGGCTTGTCAGTTAAACACTCCATCCGTAATTTTTATCAAAATACAATAAACCATACCAAGTAAGTGCGCATCGAGCTAACAATAAAGACCTTTGAACACTTCTGAAGTGGCAGGTTTTTTGGGAACTGCTGAGTCGCTCATTAGTTTGCAAACACTCTCTGTGCATGAGGGTGTTGAAACCTGGTTGAAACCGAAAGAACTTGCAGGGAGAATATGACTCAAATATAGTAGAGGCTCAGCCCTGTGCCAGCCCGTGTTTGTGTACTCTTTTCTTCAAAGCGGCTTGGTACTTGTGGTCACTTGAAAGGCATGAATAACACTGACCAAACCAAACTGACCGCGGTCCATTTTGTCCTGGCCGAAAGGGCGAGTCCGAAATGCCAGGAATTAACGCTCTGCCCATTTAGTTTTTCTTTACTTTGTACATCTGCAACTTCAGTAAAGTTCCGTCTGATAATGGTGAAAGGAGTGCGAGAAGATGAAGGGGCGGAGGTGAAAGAACAGAGAGGGAGTGACAAAGAGTGAAGAATGAAGGGGAGCTGAATGCCCTTGAAACCATATTAACCCAAGTGAAATTGAAAATGACATTCCTTAGAGACAGAAGTGGTGGAACAGAGCGGGGACTGTCATCAGAGTTAAGTCTGGGATGACAGATGGACTGCAGGGATGACAGATGGACTGCAGGGAGGGACGGGCGTAGATGGATTGAGAGTGTACAGCAAATGAGAGGAGTGAGTGTGTGTACACACAGCTGCAGAGACCTCATCATCTCCGGTAAAACCACCAAATAAACAGGACAAAGCTATTTTCAAATACTCCCTCTCTGTCTCACAGAGACACAGCTGCAGGGGAAATAGACATTTAAAAAGGTCAATTTAATAAAATAACTTTCAACTATCACCACCACCATGTCCCCTGTGTTTAAGTGAAGATCCAATGGGATGTGTCCTAAACTGTTACAGGATAATGACCCAGAAATGTCCGTCTGTGGTCTGCCGTCACGCATGGGTGACTGTGGGCTGTAAACAAAATGATAACCATGTTTCTCCTTCCAATTTACTTAAAAAAATATACACTTATGGACATTTTCATATAAACTCTTAAAGTAAGTATGAATGATGTCGGCAGTGATGTAAATGTACACTACTTATTAGAGAAAAACTATCGTGGTGATATAGCCCAAGACTTACAAATAAATGTCTACCTATAGGCTACATAGATACAAAACATCTGAAAAACGTCACGCTTTCAAAAGTTCTACATCGGTGCATACAATGGTACCATTTTAAAAGGCCAATTTGTGCTGCAAATGACACTCAGACATATACAAATATTTTGTCGATGATACATTTCTAAAGACAAAAATGACCAAACAACTCTTCTCTAATGGATAACCTTTAGTTATTGATTCGTCTAACAAGTATTTTTCAATTCATAAAATAATAATTTAGTCAATTATATTTACAAATATGAGAAGAAGCACGTTTTCAAAGCCAAAGTTAATGTATGAAATAGCTTATTTGTCTGATAAACAACTGGGGAAACAAAAAATAAATAGATTTTTTATCAGAGAATGAATAAAGCCAAGGTGTAACTTCTGAAAAGTTTTTTGACACTTTACCTTTAATTGTTATATATGAAATGTCCAAATTGAAATGCCTAAAAAATACTTTTGTATTTATTTTTTATTTGGAGTCACATAGTATACAGTTTGATCAATTGACAGATCATTCGTTTAAATTAGGTCGCTGACACTAATTCAGCACGTGAAACTGACAATAATTTAATGTCTAACAAACCTAACCCATTCACACACATATAATGCAGAACATTTATAAATGGTCAGAATACCAAGCAAAACAAGAGTAGGTTTTTACTGCAAGCATATTTTTAATACAAAAACAGAACAAAAACATTGTTTATAATTTTAGTTTTAATTTTACACAATTGACTCCTATAGTAACACCCCTCCCTCCATGTTTTCGTCATCACACAGAGTAGCACAGCATCAAAAGGTGGAGGACTCGTCTCCTGCGCCCCGAATCCCCCTCCCCTCAGAGAGACAATAAATAAATAAAAATCACCTTAAGATGTCTTCTTTCTTACTGTAATTTCATTAGTCTTTCATAAACTTCATCTCTCACACTGAGATAACACAGAGACAACTCTGCCCCGCCAATGACGGGCATTTGAAAAAAAAGCCTAGAAGAAACGCTGGGGACGGACATGAGGCAGGACAACCCGCTCTCATTGGTCTGCTCTGACCAGGTCTGCTCTGACCAGGTCTCCTGTCAGTCATATTTGTAGTTCTCTCTACACATGAAGGGCAAACCCCTTTGGTCATCGTCTGGGAATTGTAGTCATTAGCAAAAAAAGAGAAAAGAACAAACAAGGCTGTCACCAGAATCAGCGACCTAGTGAGTAATGTAATGTTACAATGAAGTAGAAACACACAAACGGAGCGGACCACTTCCTTGGTACAAAAAAAACACAATTTCTTTAACCATAATACTAAATCACACTCCGCAAACGGTGATATGACATGAAACTGAAAAATAAATAGATTTTTCTTTCAAGCTAGATAACAAAAGTACAACTGGATTATAAATTAACCAGAAAACAATGAGAAGAAAAACAAAAAAAGGACATTCGCAAATTAAAATGTTTGCATACAGTGACTCATGTCAATGACCTCTATCATTTCCTGTAACAAATACACACATTAAACACACCACCTTGTGTGTGTGTGCTGCTGAGTTGCTCAGGGCGACGCAGCGTAGACATTGAGGTGGGACTGCAGAGGAAGAGACAATTAGTGCATGCTGGTTGTCGAACATCGGGTTACACATGTCATATATTGTCAGTAAGTGTGCTGTTAGTGAGTGTCACCTTAAAAATAGTCCTCTCTTTTGCCAGTTTGTGATATTCCTGTTGGATTGTTACGCCGGCATGTGACCAAACCACACCGCCCTTTGCTGAAATGCACACACACAAGGCTGATGTTACGTTCCAACGGTCGAGAGGAGTCTGCGCTGCGAGTGTGTGAGTGTTTGCTCCGTCACCACCACCCACCCTCTGAGTCTGAGGTTAGCCGGTGTGTGTGTGTGTGTGTGTCGGACAACGTTTTCCCGCCTCCCCACACACAGATCTGCTGAGGTGAGCGTTTTCCCTACCAACCAGTCCAGAGGAAGAGACATGGCAGTCGTTGCATATTTTCTTTTTAGACTCATCGCTGAGGCATCTGGCCCACAAGCCAAAATGACCCACAATTCTCTCTTTCTTTTTTTTTCTCTCCTGAATTTCATTTGGGCTTTCTTTGTTTTTGCAGCCGTGGTGGTGGCGTGTCCCACTCCCTACCCTGCTTCTCTTTGAAAACGTGGGTATTTGTGTCAGTGTGGTATAAAGCAGTTTAAAGACTTCTCTGTTTCTGCGTCTGTTAGGGACAGAAGTGAGTAAGTAAGGCAGCATCACGTCAAGTCACTTTGGGGTTTGGTTCCACGCTTGGGGGGGAACTTTTGAAAGACAAAGCAGGAGACTGGAAGGCAAAATGGGGTCGCTTCTTAAAGGGGAAAGTCGGTTTTTAACCCCACAGATTCTGACCTGGGACCAGAATCCCTCCTCCTGTTGTGCATGTTTTCTCAGTCCGTCCATGAGAGCGGGGAAAGAGTGAGAAGGAGATTCACCATCCTATCCATCTCCTTCTTTCCCCTGGAAAATGTCACAGTGCACAAACTCTCCTCGAGCCCCGTTAGATGGACTCAGATTGAAGAGCTGGTACACCGATGATACTCGCTTCCACTCCAGTTTTCTATTGCTGAATTATTTTTCACGGCCCCCCTGGGTCTTTGGGCTGGGGGCTTTTTAGAGATGGTGGGTATCTTGGATGGTTTGGCCCGGGTCGTCGTGGTGTGTCCGAGGCGTCGGAGCAGACGGAGCGGACGTCCTGCAGCTCCGAGGCGTCCGAAGCGTCGCTGCCTCTTCGGCTGCTGGCTCTGCTGCCTGCCCGGCTGCCCGCTCGGCTTGCCTGCCCGCTCGCTGTGGACCCCCCCTCGCTTCGGATCTAGCAAGGACAGGAGAGAAGAAAATTGGGCTTAATCAAGAAGCAGAGCATTCGTTTCTTAAAAGGGAAATTAGGGCAGGGCTTTGTGGGTGGTAATGTTGGTCATTTCATCCGCCAGACTAAAACATCTCAATAA